TATTATTGCCTGTCTCCCCCCAGAATGTAAGCCCCTTGAGAGCAGAGAATTTGTCACTTTTGTCCCCGATCTGCTCCAAGGCCCAGAACAGGGCATCCTACATCATACACCTTTCTTCATTCATCCAGCAAGTATTTGTTGAAGGCCTACAGCAATCCAGAGGTACAGCCTGAAAAAACAAGAAGCAGCTTACATTCTATTTGTAAGGTAAACCAATCAATTCAAAATATTATTTTAGATAGGAACAAGTAGTATGAAAATACTACTTAAATACTACTTATTTTAATACCAGGATAGCGGGGCAGAGGTACTCTTGCCTGGGTGGTAAGGAAGGTCTCTCAGAGGAGGTGACATTCAGGCTGAGGCCAGCATGAAGTGAAGGTCAGGGGAAGGATGTTTCCAGGCAAAGACCAGGATGGGGGGAGGACTAACTTGCATATTTAACAGCAGAGAGACAGCCAGTGTGGCTGTGGTATAGTAAATAAGGCGGGCGTGGGGCACGAGATGGAGTTCACAGGCAGCCGGGGCTGGATCGTACAGGCCTTTATAGACCATCATGCAGGGATTGGGATTTATCCTGGTGTGATGCAAAGCCTTTGAAGGCTTTTCAACAGGGGAGTGGCATGATTGGTATATGTGACAAAAAGCCCACTTGGGCTACTGTGTACAGAATGCAGTGTAGGGGATCAAGAGTGTATTGTGTTGAATGAATGAATGAATTTGGCCTGAGCTGAGCTTTTTGTGCCTAAAGCACATCCCCACTTCCCTGCAGTTAGAAGCCATAGCTAATGGTTCTCTGATCAGAAGCATGTTTATTCTTGAGCTAAGACCTGACGTGGGGCCTCAGTTACCACCCCAATAAAATAGCATCTTGGGCTCTTCTGGGTAATGAGGTGCAATTAGCGCAGCCTCCAAATGGCAGGTAGAGTTGGTTAAATGTAGTGGAAATCATTAAGACTGCTGACATCATGGCTGGGTGCTGCCCTCCGTTCCTGGTTTGTGCCGTCACTGTTTGTCCACCACCGTGGTCTGGGCTGATCCTCTGAGCCAGGGAAATCCACTGAGAATCTCAAACTTGGATTCCTAGAGCAACCATTGAGGCCAGTCTTGCTGGGTGACTTTGGGAAAGGTCTTAACCTCTCTGGGCCTCAATTTCTCCATCTGAAATAAGGGAGAGATGTTCCCTGTGCTTGTGTCAAGGAGAGAGCTCGAGGTTTGGAGTCAAAAGTCTGCTTTGGATCTCATCACTTACTTACTGTGTAACTTTGAAAAACTAGCTTGGCCTTTCTGAGCCTGCTCCCCAGTTGTAGGAGGTAATCGTGATGATTCACGTCCTACTCGACCTTACATGATAGTTGTGAGAATGAAACAGATTGGAAGGCACTTTGCAAACTATTACATGCTGTAAAAATGCGGGTTTGTTGCTTTTAACTACCTCAGGGTTGTTTTGAAAGCAAAAGAAATATTAGTCGTGGACAGACTTTTAAATAACTCCTCTACAGAAGTAATATTTTGAGAAAAGAAATTTTTATTGCTCAGCTAGATGGGATCAAACTTATAGACCAAGAACAGTCTGGAGTGTGGTTTTTTAGACTAGAAAGCTCTCAGCAATATGACAAGGATTTAATACAGAGGTGTTGGCCAAGAGCTCTGGCTTTGGGCTCTCTCGGTGTGCTGTTTACTGGCTGTGTGACCTAGGCCCAGTTACTTTCCTCTGAGCCTGTTTCCTCATTTGCAACTTGGACACTATGGTCACACCTGCCTGCAGAGTTGGCTAAGACACTCCTGTTAAAATTGCAGCCCGGGCCGGCCCGGTGGCGCACTGGATAGTGCGCCGCTTGGGAAGAGCGGCGGCGCTCCCGTCCAAGGGTTCGGATCCCATATACAGACCGGTTCCCGCTCACTGGCTGAGCGAGGCGCGGGAGCAACACCGAGGCTTGCGATCCCGTTGCCGGTCCCCGGTCCGGTACGGGGGCAACACTGAGGGTTGCGATCCGTTGCCGGACACGGAAAAAAGACAAAAAGACAAAAAAAAAAAAAAAAGGG